ACTAGAGACTGAGACCAGAAACTCATCAGGAAACTGTTACTGAGCTCATAAATCAACTGAGAATTCGGCTCATTTGCCATAAGACTGCAGAGGCAGCAGTAACTATTATGCTGCAACCCGAACTCATCTGCACACTTAATGACTGACTGAAGTAACAAAACTACCCAGAGCTGGAAGTCAGTCAGAGTTGGGGGTGCTGAGATAAAGTCAGTCTATATAACGACGTCATACTTAATGCTAAATGGTTTGCTCATTATTATATTACATCCTGCCAGAAATACCAGTGTATGAATGTAAATCCCAGTAAAAAAAATGACTTTATAAGACTCTTTATTACACATTATTGCTGTTCAACACAAATCTTTACATTATATATTATCTTTATTTATTATTATTACAGTCATCTTTGACCATAAAAGTTATTAATAAGCATTTTTTGGTCAATTTGAGGAATAATTTGATGACTCTAAACTGTTTTCTACCCTCAGACATATTGTAGATACTGAGATACTGTAGATATTGTATTCACCTAAAATATCATAATATCACTGAATTGGTCAGTGTTTTATTATTTATTATTTAATATATAATTTATGTTCCCGTAACGAAGGAGTTTTAGATTTTATTAGAGTTTATATGTTCATACGTCTCTGACTCTGGTGTAAAGCTGCAACTGTTCAGGCTTTAACACAAATACTGATCTGAGAACTGGAAGCAGTCACAAACACAAAGCAGCACAGTACTGATGTTGAGGCGCCATCTGCTGGTTACAAACTGCATTTAAGAGCAGAAGTCACTGCTGCCAAAACACCTGCTGATACCACTGATGGAGGTGAACTGAGGAGGTCTGAACCTGTAAATCACAAATAAATAGCAAACCTGCCGGAATTGTCAAATGTAGGTCCTGAAATGGATCACAGGAATACTTGGCAGGTCACTCAGCTACAGAAGCTTTTGACAAAACATTTGGTATGTAAATAAAAGAGTAATATTTCTCAAAGCAGCTCAGATAAAACTATAAGACAGAAAGTGGTGATGGGCAGATTGAGTCTGATGATGCTTTTATCCTGTTTGTAGGATTTGACAAACAAACATATAAGATCAGACTTGTTCTGTTTCTTCCTGTACTCGGGTCTCCTGCAGAAAATATCCTGATCTCAATGAGCCGGCCTGTATTTAATAAAGATAAATAACATCATATTGTGCTGTAGAGCTTCCAAACTTGGACAAACAAGACAAGAGGTTAGCTTTATGCGAACAATATTTTTTCATTTTCAACCCCATGAGAACAAAGGCTTTTATAGGCAGATGTAACATTATCTCAGACGAACTTCCCCAAATCCATAAAGAGCAGGAAAGAGCTGCTACTGTTAACACAAACTCTGATAGCATCGTAGAACAGCTGGAGCAAAGCCAGGTTACTACTGCAGGAAGTAAGCTAGTTAGCAGTACAGGCTAGCGTTTGCAGTTTACATTAGAGCAGATACGTTTTAGTGCATTTATTACACTTCTACTTTTTTGTTACTCGTTTTAGAAAGGCTTAGAAATATGCCATCTTCCCCAACCTCTTTATATAGAATATAAAGAATCTCTCTTACGTTATGTGGAGAAAGCTTATGGTTGCTAAGCTATGACTGGACCAACCAATGTTAAGAGATGGGAATCAAGAGCCGGTTTGCCTCTGAACTCATCAGTCCCTCGCAGCCTTAGCAGATGATAATGAAAGAGTTAAACGGTGGAGCTTTTTCACACCTGAGTCAAATGCAAGCCTTTGTTCTCCACCATTTTCAGACTCAGAGATAATAAACTGTTGCATTTCCACACAGAAAACAAACTGATCAGGGATCGGTGAGGCAATCGATAATCTTATTGCTATCAGTAAAATCTTTATCATAATAAATTATCCCTACCAATGTTACCAACTGAAAATGCACTAAAAGAGAGGGCGACAACCAGAGCCGACCACACTGAGCTTCACAACGACTCTTCAGAAACCTGTGGAGGACGTCCAGGAGACTACGTCTACTATTAATTATACAGTCCAAGAAGACAAGAGATGAGAATTTTGGCTCAATCATTGTGTAACATTCTCTAGTTTTTAAGAATAAGAGAGAAAAATAAAAAGCTCACGTTTGTCACCGATTATCGACCAAGTAGTCTCAGTAGTTCCTCCTTCGCTGGACATGTCTTCACCTTCTTCGTCCCTACTCCTTTATACTCTTTCACTTCTCTCCTCTCCTGATACAAACTCATGCAGACAACTACAATGACAGCTCTCCTAAACTCTCCCCTCCATCCCTCTGTGCTCTTTCAAAATGAAATCTGATCCTCCGGTCTGAGCAGTTCTGTATCCTGTGTGAACCGTCAATCAGCAAAGCTTTCCCGACTCCGACTGGGTGAGGCGGACGTCCCTTCCTGAATACTGCAAAGACACAACAACACAGAGGAAGGTGGAGAAAGCTGCGGTGCACAACGATTAAAGGCCCAAACTGCTAAAATGACAAAGGAAGCGTAAGCGTCTAACTGGGATAAATTTGCACTTCATTAAACGTCCTACTTCCTCAACTGTTAGGGAGAGTTTGTTATCATAAAACTGTTCTTCAAACGTTTCATTAATCAAGATCCGATAGTTAACTGAGAGATCCAGACTTCACTACAAAATCAACTGTAACTCACTTAATTCTGATCCGATTTAACTTTTTTGATACTCGTCCCACTCCTACGCACCTGCCTCATGAAGTATATATCTATTTTAAGAAATTTGGTTTGTTATAAACATGAGAAATTTAACCATGACCCTTGATATTGAGTGGTGTGTGGAGGTACAAACAGACATATTCAAACTGTCCCGGCAGTGGCTGAAAGCTTTGGGAAAAGCAAAAAAGTGGATATTTTTTAGCTTTATCTGTTAGTAAAGTGTTTAGCAGATAATAAGATATTTCTGGAGACCAAAAACACATTAAGATGATATTATGTTATGGTTTGGTGTTTACTAGTGTAGCTCTAATGCCCCCTAGTGGACGGTTTTAACTGTAAATGATCTTAATAAATTTGGCTCAACCAATCTGAACATCTGAGACGTCTTTACGTGACTCCGATCAGCCTGCGGAGCGAACTGAAAGCGAGATGAGTTTCCCGTCAGGCTGGATGGAAGGCGGCTCCATCAAAAGGCCCCCAGCGCCCGAATAAACAGGAACAAACATGGATTTTGAGGCGGTTTCAATTTCCTGCTGCAGCTTATCACACACACATACACAGCAGCATTAAATATTACTCATGAGTCCGGATTGAGAGCACTCTCTGCTCTCAGGCTGTTGGCCCGCAGTGGGGAGGAGAGAGCCATGAATTAGACATCGAACCAGTCTGTAAGTAGGCCACAATAACCAGAAACAGCATCACACACGTGGATGACTGCTCGCTACTGTTTAATGGAGCACGCTGAGGAGTTCTTTGATGCTGTTTTATATCTTCCTCTCAACAACAACTGGTGTTTATTCTCTATTTTCATCAGTTTCCAGCATTTAAACCAGCAAGAGGTTTTTGGGGAAAATCGGTTCATTTTAATGGAATCGGTGCGATCGGTGGATTCTTTCGCCCGAGCGAATCTTTAGCGTAAATTCAACTTTGACATGTGAATTTGCTTCGCAGATCAAAGACCAAAGAGTCTCATTTACGTTTGAGGGAAGAGTCCAAAACAGGAGCAGCTCCCGTAGCTTATAGACCTTTTTCACAGCAGCTATTTTGACATGAGATAGTAGGTTAAACCATTGAGAGTATATATAATGGACAGAGCTTCTGGGTCTGTGAAGTGAAGTCATTGTCTTAAAACCTGCATTCTGTGTAACAGCCAGCAGGTGGCAGCTCCATTGGTTGCAATAACACAGCGATCCCATTCAGTCTTATGGAGAA